TTTCCTCAGTTTACTCTTAAATTATCTAGGGGTATATTCCACACCCCCCCCCCCCACCTAAAAGCAGCTTGGGACTTACTTTATTGTACGGTTTTTTTTTTTCCCAGCTTTTGTGTTTTTTGGTTATTTGCTTTTTCAAATGGTGAAAATTTTCTAAAATTTCTTGAAAACTGAATTTTCCTTCAAGCACTGCTTCAATTGTGTTTGATTTGATACTGTATTTTCAATATTATTTGTGATCAGTTTTATATTTTTAGTTCTTTAACCCAACAGATACTTATAATATCATAAATAAAACTTGTAATGCTCTGTATGGTTCTTGTAGCCTCTTTGAAGTAGTAACTCTTAAGGAATCTGTCAAAGCTGAGCTACATAAGATTTTTGTTAAATCAGTAACATAGATTTCTCCTTTCAAATAGTAAAAAGAATGCCTAATGAAGTTGTTTTTGGAGTCACTTTAACTTGTAACAATTTAATGTAACTTTATAATTTAAAGGATTTAAATTGTTACATTTATAACTTTAGTATGTTTGGTTCAGATCTGGATTTGAAATGGACTGCTGAGATTCAAGGGAGTTCTCAAGCAATAGGCAAGGGGCACTTGCTGTCTTTGGCTCTACCGAAGTTTTTGTTGTTAAAGAATTAGAATTTGGTATCCATTTTTTGCTGCTAAACTGTGATCCTATGTTATATTTAATATATCTATAGTAAACTCAATAAATAATATAGAATCTTTTCTCTTGTAATTCCACTGCTATTGACCTAGTCAAGGCAAGCCACCTAAACTTTATATAAGCTTCCTAGTTGAAATCTTTGTCTTGAGATCTTACCTTCAACTCACCAATCCTATTGTCTGTAGTTTCCTTTTCTTGAAACAGCTCTCAATATATGATTCTTCCAAAAGTTTTAAATTGTTCAGAATCTTGAGTATATTTGATACTCTCTAAGATCATCTGAACTATCTTTTATTCATTCAACAAGACATATTAAGTATCTACTCTAGGAGGTGCTGTACTTACTGTTAGGATTGTAATATCTAGGGGGCAAATGTGATCCCTAATATCACATTTGTCCCCTACTGACATCTAGGAGGAAGAGTGGGAAGTAAGCAAATACAGATGTGATGGATGTCAAGAAGGTGAAGTACAGGATGATAAGGAATTCTAATGTAGGATCCAACCTAGTCTACAGAGTTAAGGCCAACTTCCCTAAGAAAGGAAGAACTTCAATTAAGACCTAAAAGATGGGCCGGGCGCGGTGGCTCAAGCCTGTAATCCCAGCACTTTGGGAGGCCGAGGTGGGTGGATCACGAGGTCAAGAGATTGAGACCATCCTGGTCAACATGGTGAAACCCCGTCTCTACTAAAAAATACAAAAAATTAGCTGGGCATGGTGGCGCGTGCCTGTAATCCCAGCTACTCAGGAGGCTGAGGCAGGAGAATTGCCTGAACCCAGGAGACGGAGGTTGCGGTGAGCCGAGATTGCGCCATTGCACTCCAGCCTGGGTAACAAGAGCGAAACTCCGTCTCAAAAAAAAGACCTAAAAGATGAATGACACGTAGCCAGTGAAAGCGGGGAGGGAGGAAGAAGAGCAGAAGGCTAGGGAAATGCTTGCATGTGTAAAGGCCCTGAGAAGGAACAGATTTTTGGCTTTTTACAAAGAGCCTTTTTCAGAAACTGGAAAGAAGGTCATGTGGATGGGTGATGAAACTTGAGGATATAGGTTGTTGTATACCATTTGAAAATTGCTTTTTCCCAAAGGCATCAGAAATGGTATAGATATGTTTAAGCAGGGAATAACTACAGATTTTTACTTAAAAAAAAATCACTTTGATTGCAGTGTGAAGTATGGTTTGCAGATGGTTTATGGATGTAAGGAAATTAGAAAAGAGTTGCCTGTAGTCTAGGTGAATGATTATGGGAGCCCTACTAAGGCAATGGCAGAGGGACTTGAATATAGTAGCTGAATTTGAGAGGTAAAATCAGCATGGCTTGGTAACTGGATGTAGGAGTAGAGGGTAGAGCTGACAGTGGTTTCAGGTTTCTTGCTTGAACACTGGATGGATGGCAAAACCATTTATTAAACTTGGGAGCACGGAGGGCAGGAGGTTTTGGGAGGGTGGAGTAGGATAAAGACTCAATTTTGTACTCTTGATTTTATTGTGCCTGTGAGACATCAATGTCTGGTACCAGGTGTGCAGGTAAATGGGTCGAGTGTGGAGAGGTTTAGCTGTTAGAAATATCACCTGTATGACTGCTACTTGAAATCTTTAGAGAAGATGACTGTCTTGGGTGAGAGTATAGAAAACAGAGTAGAGAAACCTAGGACAGAATCCTGAGGAATTCTGACATTTAATGTTTGAACAATAATGGCTAAAAATACAGAGTGCTTATTAGGGTCAGTCATCATTCTGAGTGCTTTATACATATGCAGTCATTTAAATTATACAGTATCTGTTAGGTAGATTCTATTACTCCTATTTTACAGGTGCTAAAAACAGGTGAGAGAAGTTAATGGAAAATTTGCTAGTAAATTAGCAGCTGGAGAAATGGAAGTTTAGTGTTAGGAAAAACAAGAATGTCTGTAGAGCAGGAGTGTGCCTTTATGTTGAAGGCTGCTAATAAGTCAACAAAATGAGAGCTGTAAAAGATCCATAGATTTGAAGGATGGCATTGACAGTTGTTAACTTCAGCTAAAACAGTTCTGGTGGAATGGCAGAAATGGAGTTCAGGTTGATGAGGTCTGAAGAGCTGGAAACTGAAAACACTTGAAATTTGTCTAAGGCTGGAGGGAAATAGTTGTTACAGAAGAACTTTTAATTTTTCTTATTTAGATTGGGGATAACTTGACCTTTTAAAATGCTGATTTCAGCATCAATAGAGAGGGAGCATCTCTCTCTGCTAGAAGACATTAAAGAGAGAATCTTTAAGTTTTATATGAAGGCAGAATTCAGTAGGATCTAGGGCACAGGTAGAAGGGGATACCTTCTTCACTCAGTAAAAATGGAAGAATGAAAGGATAGGTCTACATTAGGTGATGGAAAGTTGAGGTAGTTCCCAGCTGATGCTGCTTTTCTTGAGTCAAAGTTAATACCATTCAGGAGTGGATATGGAGGAGTATTTCTTTATAGTTTTACATTCCTCTGAGGACTGTGTATCCTGGTAATGTTATCTACTCATTCTTGTTTCTGTAGCAGGAAAATCTCTAAACCTTTTTATTATAAAATATGTGGCTGAAACAATATATTCCATATAAGTTATAACACATAATAAAGCAAGCACCAGAACCCACTCTCAAACAGTATGTTTCCAACAGTGTTAAGACTCCTTTCTGGTGTGGTACTTTCTCTTTCCTGTAACCATGACCCTGAACTTTTCCCTTGCTTTTAAAAGCATTTTTTTTTTCACTGCCCTTAAATCTGTCAGAGTTGCTTTTTTGTACCTTATAATAAGCGGTATCATATCATGCTATATATTCTGCGGTTGTATTTTTCACTCATTATATTTAGTATTTTTGTATCAATGCAAGTGTCTGTATTTAATTTGGTTCTCTCATTTAGTTTCAGTCTGGAAATAAATGGATGCTTGAGGGATTTTTTTTTTTTTTTTTGGTCACTATGAAGAATTTTACTTTGAGGAATCTTATAGGTGTTATTGACAAACCGGAGTAAGATTTTTTTTTTTTCCCATGGTATATGTCTCTTATTAGACTATTGGGTGTGCTCAGGATTAACTTCATAGTTAAAAATGTTGAACTGTTTTCCAAAATTATTGTACCAATTTATACTAATACTGGTATTACATAGGAGTTCTTATTGTTCCATACCTTTATAAATATAATATCAGCCTATTTTTTTCAACATTATTAAAAAAATGTACTTAACACAAAGTAAACCCACTCTAACTGTACATTTCAGTGTTTATAGTAAATTTGTAGAGTTACCAAACTGTTAGCTCAATCTCATTTTAGAGTATTCCTATAATCCTCTTTTTTGTCCCCTGATTTACTTTCTATCTTTATAAATTTGTCTTTTCTTACATTTCACATGAAATGGTCTTCTGGATCTGGCTTATTTCCTTAGCATAATAATTTTTAGGTTTATCCCTGTTATAGTATGTATCAGTATTTCTTTGGTTTCTATTGCTGGCTAATATTTCATTGTATGGGTGTACCACATTTTGTTTATCCACTTACCAGTTGCTGGATATTTGGATTGTTTTCGTTTTAGGCCATTATGCTGCTGTATGCAATTTGCACACAAGTCTTTATGTGGACATGTTTTCATTTCTTTTGGGCAGATACCTTGGAGTGGAATACTTTACTATTTTAATTGCTGAGGCTTTATAATATGTATTTATCTGGTAGTGCAGGTTCTCCATCTTCTGTTTCAGATTGGTCCTTTCTCTTTTCCGTAGAGATTTGAGTTAAAGTCCCATGAAATGCTTCCCTCTTTTCTGTCAATTTTGTTCATCTGGGAAATTAAAAAAAAAAAAAAATTTGCTCCTTTAAATTTCCTGTAGGACGTTGCATATTGTTTGTTAGAATACTTATTTATTTTTGTCTGTTATAGGTAATTATTCTAAGTCTTTTCCACCATATTATAAATATCTTGAAGTTGCTTGTTCATCTGTTAAATACCATGCTACTGTGTAATACATTTGGGTAGTGAATGACTATTAACAGAGAAATCCTATTGGCTCAGTACTATTAAAACCAACAGGCTTCTCTGATCTTAGACTTTATAGATAGGATAAAATTAGGACTCAGATTTCTAATACAAAATTGAATTTCTGGCATTAGAATTGAATTTTTAAATACAACTTAATGTAACTTGTATTAATACTTTCTCCTTTTTCTTTAGGCAAGTGCTTTCTTGTGTATGTATAGTAAATAGCTGTAAGGTCTTAAATCTCTTCTACTGTATTTAAGAAACACTTATTTTCACATATTTTGTATTTAAACAGTCAGAAAATTGATGTTTTCTTATCCTATTTGGTAGGAAGCAGTAGAAAAATACGAAGAAGTGCTACATAATTTGGAATTTGCCAAGGAGCTTCAGAAAACCTTTTCTGGGTTGAGCCTAGATGTGAGTATGTTTTCTTTGCTTTTTCCTGAAACCAGTTTTAACCACTGACCTTGGAGAAAATGTCCGTGTGTCAGTGTCTAATAACGGTGTTTGATTACCATTCATCTAATTTCTGCTGATATTTTATTGCGATGGAGGGTTGAGGGTAACTGTTGGAGAACTAGTTTTTTCATATTTCCATAGTCTCAAGGGAGAACACAAATGGCATATGAATATGAGACATTGTGAATAAAACATTAGTTATCTAATGTATGTTATTTAATTATAGAATTAAATCATTGAGAAAGGGAATCAAAACTTTTGAAAAGGTATATTTATTAAAGGTATTTTAGAATATAGGCTTGTAAATTTGTATAAGATAGGCTTCTTTCACATTATTTAACATATGAGGCAACAGAATCGGTAGTCTTTTTGAAAGCATGAAAATTATTAACAGGAAAATTAATGACATATGTTAAATAGAGTTAAATCTGGCCTTACTACTTGTTAGATTCTCTATGTTGGCAGTCCAAACTTTATCTCTGATAAATTTAATCAGTAATTAATAAGAAATTTTAAATACTTTTTAATGAAGTATTCTTTTTTTTTTTTTTTTT